AACGATATAAGAGGTTTCAGTCTTGCTACCCTGCTGTACACTCTCTGAGCATGTAACCGACGCCTAGCAATTTTCACAGACACATTCTTATGTGTGAAATTGTTCCACTGTGTTGTCAACTGACAAGCAGTGTCGAACTTTGACAACCTGGACATCAAAATCAGTCGTCGGTCTTCACGGCCAGTATTTTTTCTTGGACGACCCATCAGAGACAATTTGTCTCTTGATCCAGTGTTTCTATACCGAGACCAGACCCTCTGCACGGTTCTGACTGAACAATTCAATTGTATTGATATTCTGACATTGCTTATATTCCGCCTCTTCAGGTTAATAACTTGCACCTATAACCGTTAGATAATTACCTGTATCTTGCCATACTGGAAGAAGACAGGAATAACATTTGCTGTACATGTACAAGACCAACAATACAATTCCATGGTATAGCGGTTTTATACTCATTAGTCACATTATAAGTAGACCAGGCATTATAAGTACCCAAGATCTGCCTACTTTCATTACTCTGAGTTAGGGGGTGACACTTCTTTTGTCCAGTGTGTGTATGTGTATGTATTGGTCTTCTTAGGTAAAACTAGTAATAAAAAAAGAAAGAACTCACGTGATACTGGGGGTTTCCAGCCACGTTATTCCACTCTGTCTGAAGGTGATCCAGCATATCTCGTTCTTCAGGGCGGCCAATAACGGCCAGAAAGTCTCCGCGTCCATCCCGAGAAATAATATTTTTCATGACGTCAGGAAACGCCTGGATCAAAGAAGAGCTCCAGAGTAAAGGCAGAGTTCATTTTATTTCTAAAATGTTTTAATGTATTGTGTTGCACAAAAAATTAAATAAATAAAATAAAAAACGCAACTCAATGCTTACTTAAGCCGGCTTAACAAAAAGTCAAAATTCCGTGAAGTTAAGCAAATATCTGCCTTAAAATGTCATACTGATGCACAGCTTGCTTTCTGAGGAGGCAAAGGAGCACGTTATCAATGCTTCGTTTAAAACTATAGATACAGCTAATTTGTCACTTATGTAACAAACGGGTGTGCCCACGGCGGCGCTCACCTGTTCAAATTCTGTGGGTACATTCTGCGACTTCTCCGTCAGATCAACGTTCATAACGACATCCAGTATTATTATCCCTTGGAAAGGCGGGAGATTGTCTGCCGCGGTGTTTGCAGGGTAATTGTCTTTCCAGAACTTCGGGAACCACGTTTTTACCAGCTCCCGGCTTCCACAAGCGATTTTGCTGCATGCGATGTCTTTTCCATCTATCAAAGATTTATTGGAAAGTTCACAAGTCATGTCTCATCTTCATAGCAAACCCATGTAAACGCATGAAATCTGTTTTACAGGGTAGAAACTGTTTTGACATTTAGCCATTATTATATGAGAAATCTGTGGTAGGGGAGCAAAGTAACTTCCCAACTACTCCCCCCCCCCCAAAGAAATAAATGCACTCAGTACAAAACCCTGCCCAAAATGGAAAGTAGATGTGAAATATTCGACTAAAACTTGGGGCAAAGGAGAGGGTGGGGAAGAAAGCAAGTCTTCCTGTCATCATTATTTAATCCGTTATTAATTTTTTTTAGAATACAAACTGATATACGTACTCGTAGCTATCTTTCATAGTAAAATTCCATTCAGTTGAGGGGGTTTATTTTCATCTTATCTTCGTTTAAAAAGAACTACGAGAGGTTTGTGCAGACGTGTAATACATGAAAACACGCTAAGCTGTCTCGGCTACCAGTCTCTCTCTCTCTCTCTCTCTCTCTCTCTCTCTCTGTGTGTGTGTGTGTGTGTGTGACTACTTACGACTTTCCCATTCTTCAAAATCTGAGGCAATAAAGAATAATGTATAGTTCGGTCTACACCCAGTGTGCGTAAGGACCTTAGCAGCCTCCAACATTGCCGTCACACCAGACCCATTATCATTTACACCTATTGGTAAAGAAAAAAAAACTCCATGTTGTGAACTTCTATGTTGAATGAAACATGTTTTATTATAACACAAACTACTTAACTTAATTTTTTTAGATAATCACTATCACTCTGAAATAAATGCACACGATGCATGAAAATTGAACTTCTACCTTAGGTACGTATGCTGAAGGCTACTCTTGCACCTTGTAGCAAAGATACATACCTTTTTCTCAACAAACGCAATTGCCGAGAAAATGCCGCAACAGTTCTATTGTTCGGATATAAAAACGTAACAACTATGACAATTCAGTGCAATCGCAGCTGCACATGTGGTATACCTGGTGAGGTCCGCATTGTGTCGTAATGCGCTCCTATTGCCAGTGGGAAGTCGTGTACTGTACCAAACTGACGTCCTTTCAGAATACCTATTACATTATGCCCTTTCACCTGGAAAACGGGTGATATACAAGATTCATTTATTTAATATCTAATTATTATATATTTATTCCGGTTTTAAATGTAACCCAACCAAAAATGGCAAATATACATAAATACATAATAAGAACAATAATGGGGTGTTACGCTTGTCACTGAGATATTTAAAATATTGAAAAAGTTATTTCAAAACAATACATTCTATTTCCATACAGAATATAGGGTACTTCTCGTGGAACATATATCGCACACATAAATCTACACTAAAATCGTATTTCAGTTTCAGTTAGTAGATATTGCTAGATATTCCTGATAAAATAACCAAAATCTGATTGGCCACCCACATGATTAAACATTTGTGTTCTAACTGGGACCGGGATTTTCTTTTTATTGCAGATCTCACGTTATAGAGTGATATCCAATCCTACACCCTCAAAAGGAAATAGCAAATGGGCAAGGCATTGGGAAGGGATTCGTCTGCTTTTCGACTTCTGGCGTACTATTGGGTTTGCCCGTGCTCAAATTTTAAGTTCATCTGTGAACGCGGAAGGAGGTCATATACTCCGCTACCAAAAAGTGTCACCCCTAACGCAATGCGTACAGTGATACAAAAACTCCTGTCGTGAACCAATGTTCTTTCTTTAACTTCTGAAAGAATTTTCACAAAAATTTAATGACTGTATACCACCAATGAATAAACTAACCATAGTAAGAGAAATTAAAGCCACATTTTGTGTTCACTGTGCACTTACTCCCGCTAAGTCTGTATCGAAGCTATGTATTCTGGTGTCCAGTCCCTGGCTTTGCAGATAATCATGTATGAACATCATGGTCTCATTCTTGACCGCTGGGTCATGCGCGTGGTGGCGAGGGCTAAAGAAACGAGTGGTCAGCGTTTCCCTCATCCAGGTCTTGTTCACTTCAAAGCATGATCGATGTTGGAGTTCTATTGAAAATAAGCAATACGTAATATCACTATCACTGTTACTTACAAGAAAATTTTTAAAAAATTGATCATTATTATGCAAACCGGATACGCCTTCAGCATAGAATCACAAAAAATTAGGATCAAGCTTTCTCGATTATAAAGGATCAAGCTTTTCATTACGTTGGTTACGATAGAAAATAAAGCGCAAAGATTATAATTAGGGGAAACTGATAAGGGGTATGAGCATGGTGAAATAATGGCAAACTTAATTTTGTAGCACAGCTCAATTCTTCAAATATCCCAGTATTGCTTATTTGGAGATCAGTGCTTTCCGCTGGATTATACATTTTCGCTAAACCAATTATGCAAACCAAATGGCGAAGTGAGTATCCGGTAGAGCTGATTTTACTTGGAAAGAGGATGAATACATTGACGTCATTAACCCAGCGGTTACATCCTGGTTGGCTCTTATACCGTCAAATACATTCTACGTAATCTGGTTTTCCACTTTAACTGTCAAAACGGCGATAATGTAGGCAGATAGGAAATGGTGTTCGAAGAATGACCCGTCACCGAACTTATTTGTGTGTTCAGCTAAAAGTATTAGTTTGGCATTGTATGCCAAAAAGATGAAAACATCTGAAGATGTGGATTTTGAAATGGTTCTTACTAACTGTGCACCGTAATCAGTAGTTCTACAGTTTGGATATTCTTTATCTACACGTTGACTTTGCTTGAAACATATATGATTAACTCTCTGTGATAACGATATTAAATGCTTGAATGTTTATATAAATGGCACTGGTACCCTAAGTCAGTTAAAATGAGTGGATTGCATTCCAAGTCAATGTTAAATCTTATGAATGGTATTCTATCGCCGGTTATTGATGCCACAGAAGGAAATGCACTGTTCATATAAATATCGATTTTTATAAATGAACTTTACATGTCAACTGACATAATAAAAGACTGGGGTTATGTTGTAGACAGGATATTACGATATAGAAGGTACCTTATGTGATTTTAATTCAAGGCAAATAGTTTTCGTAAAGCTTAGCAATTATGAGAGAAGCACGGTTGTTTTGTCCCACATGCAGGACTTATTGGCCCTAGATATGTCGCCGAACCTCTATACAGATGCAGCGACTTTTGAATTTGTACACTCAGCTACTCGGTTTTAGGTTAACTTGCTCATTTAAGCTTTTTAGAGGCGATGCTTCAAAGAGGCAACCGTCAGAAATACATTTAGGTCCGCTACAATGGCACTGAAATTATCCAGCAGCCACGATGAACTATTGTCTGGAGGTTTACCTCAACTAAAGCAGACAAAAATCTGTTCATGCCCATTTCTAGTAAAATCGATTAATCTAAGATGATGGGCATTGCGCAGAAAATAACATTCAGCAAACACATAAAAACAGATGCTTTTGTATTAAAGGTATGAGACATTCCATTTTAGTAATCCATCGTGTAGGCCGAGTGTGATTGAACAGACTACCATTTTACGTCCCAGGGCTGGAAATGCCATGATTGCATGGCCCAGAAGAGCTTTACAATCCACATATGGCGCTTCACTTCGGCACAATTTGAGGTGAAAACGCAAGAGAATTCCAAGTTTGATATACAGTTCGTGTCAGAACATTACCAATAGATTTAATGCAGGCCTTTGTCGTGCGTTGGCTTACACACATACACGTATTCATGTATACATGCTCTAAAATGTGCACTTCCCTCTTTTTCGAGCACGCTAGCATGCATGCACATAAGAGATGCGTACAAGAACTACACTAAAATGCCCGGAGCCTGCGATTTCAAAGTACGCCTTTTTTTCTGAATACAAAGTGGACTTTTTTTTACCTCTGAGTTGACCCAATTGAGAAAGGACGTACATATAGAGCTTGGATCATATTTTGATTCAGCGATGATCTTTTCTAGCCAAAAGGTTCTCCCCCCCCCTCCCCCTCCCCGCCGAACCACCACTGCTTTCGGACCTAATTATAAAAAAAAGAAAAAAAACATGACTGCGTAGTTAAAAATCGTTATATTACTTCAATTATTAATCATAGATTCTCACTACACGTAGCTACGTTTCACACATAATGAAAAACTAAATAGCTTTTGACACTGAGCAAATTTCATTTTGACGAAACATTTGCAATAGTGTTAGTGTCTCTTTTATTCAAATTATCGGCTGATATGTTAAAACAATTACAGTGCAGCATGTCCAATTCGATTTCTCTTCATTGCTTCTGTTCTCATTTCATTTGATTTTTTCCCCTTCTAAATAAATTTCGAGTTTTACCTTAATCTATATCTTTAAAGTGATTGTAATTTCCTTAGACACCGACTTAAGCTTAAATGCTGCTGGGCGGTGCATGGAAACGAAAAGAAAATGGTTTTTCGATTGAACACCACGGTGAACGGAACAGTGTTTCACAATGAAAATATTAAACAATAGCCTTACTTCTTTGCCGAAATAAACAGCAAGAATAAGAAAATTGTTCCTGGGGCCAATGCTACATTAAAGTCGATGTTTATTCACCTCAAGGGACTGAAAGAACTTAAGCCGTTATATTTTGTCATGAAAAATACAAATCATAAAAATATACATGTATGTAGGCATTGTTGGTCTTCGACCTTTCTTTATGACTGATACCAGCCACTGATATTATCAAAGATGTGGAGACTTTTATATTCACGTTGCATATACTGTGCAAATTCGGTGATGGGGGTGGACCCCGAAGCGGATTCCGTATTTAAACATTTTAATTTGTAATTAAAATTTAATAATTGTCATTTGGAATAGAGTGTACCGTCCAATACCACGGGCTTTCCTTCTTATTTGTTTGGGTGCTGCAGGCTTTACTTCTTGTGGGGTAATACGGGGATCTACATGTATTTCCGAGATAAATAATTAGATAAAGGACTTGGGATTGGAGAGAGTGTCATTTTAAGTGTGACGTCTTCAAAAGATGGAACCCTTTGACTTAGAAAGGGCATAACGGTTTCCCTTTTCAATTCAATTCCTTATCTTGAAGCCACCAGAATATTGTAACAACGACATGTAATACACGTACAAACTAATTATATTTATTCCAGGTGGGCAAGTGGGACTATATTTCTTGTCAAGCATCATTTCACTTAATTCCAGATCATGATCAGACCATAACAGCGCAATAACTCAAAACTTTTTATTGATTATGATCCTCAGACGGCCATAAAATACCTTTCAGTAGAAAAGTTTGGATTGATTTTCAGCGCAGTTATCAGTCAGCATTTAGGCGCGCTGTCTGCAGACACTTGGGTCTATCAGTTTTTCGCACGTTCTACTGTTTACTGAACCAGAAGAGAAGCATGGGTGATACCCAAGTGTGCTTCAAAGATGATATTGGAAAACGTGTATATGAATGTGGTCCGAGTAGACGGCAAGTCATGATAAAGTCATCGTTCTCTGCTCTTCATGTAGGCCACCGCTACATTTTCCTCTATTTTCTATGCATCATTCTAGTGGGGCGTGGGCAAAAAAAGATTCAATATTTTTAAGAAGTTAAAACTACTAAGGCAATGTTCAGCGTGCTTGAAAAACACAAGTACTTTAGCTTGGCTCTAACATCTTGGAAGCAGTGACTTGATTTCAAACACATCTGTATTGAAAATCGTTCTCAATGCTTCCCAGAGCCTTCCACGGAAACGGCGATCATGAATTTTGGGTAATTTTCGCAAGACTCGGCCGCTATATTTGGTCTCGTATAACTGTTTACCTTCGAACACTTAGTAATGCTCTTATATGAAACTGTCCCCCCAAAACCACGCCACCATAAGCGTCTGCAAGCCGCCTGTATGCTGAGCGGCTTGGGAGTCAATTGGAATCCGCATGACCCAGTCCTCAGGAGAGACTTGACACAGGCGAGAACTGGCTACATGTACGCCGTGAGGAGGCAGTGGTCAGTGGTTATAAGACATAGAAGAATATTTTTAACCGTCCCATATATACCTGCGAACCTCTAGGCGAAGGGGAATTAATAATGGAGAATAAAAGATACGGGTTGAGAAACTATGGAAATTATTTCGACACCACTTTTCACCGACTTTTCTATCTAAGAATAATTTCCTGAGACCTAGTGTTAAGTGTAGTCTAAATCGTTCTCTATGCGTGTTCACAAGCCAGTGTGAACTGGATGTTAATAAATATATTGTACATGTCCTCTGGAAGCTCTTAAATATTTAACTAAGCCATGTTTGGCATAAAGTCCATGATAATTACTTGGTGATTCAACAAAGCACCCTCTTAATTAAATCGAATGCATTTTTTTTACTTTGGCAAACGCCCATTATTAATTTCGAACGGAATCGTGTTTATTGGATACACATTATACACGTGTATCAAGACTCGTTACCGATGGTGTTATCTATATAAAGTAATCACTGGACAAATTGAAAGTATTTAAACCCTAAATGTGAGTACACATGTAAAAATACCCAGCATGAAATCGTTTTATGTCATTCATTTTAATTTTTTTTTTTTGACATGTCATGTTTTTAAAACGTTTTACTTTATATGACACAGACACCAGAGAAAAAGTGTAACTGATGCTTACAGTATTATTGGTAGAACACCTTTGTTTGGAGGTCCAAAATATATAGCCTTATACTTCTATTTCATGTTTTAGAATAAAAGCACAATTCACAGATTGGACCAAATCAAAAATACTTCTTTGGTATCGTGACACCATATGAATACCCCTCGAGAAAGTTGCGCTTGTATGTATTGAATGTACTCCTTCGATGCTTAATAAGGTACTCACCTAAAATGAATATACAATAACATCCAGCTAAAAGGCGGATTAAAGTTGCCATTTCACTCTGCTCCTCCTGCAGGTTTTGAATTGATCCAAGAAATATTTTCGAGTCCCGTTAGACCTCCGTACACGTGAAATGTCTCACACAATGTGCCAACTTTTCTTTAATGCCAAGGATTATTTGAACTTGGGATGTGTATCGATCCCACAGTGTAAGACGAGGCATTGATTGTAGCGGTATGTTTAAATGCCGGTTGAAAAGCAGACGATTTCTAAAGAACGGTATGTTTCACCCATCAAGTCTGACGCACATAAACGTTATTATAATCTTTACCCGCAAATTAATAACGCAGGAGAAAAATCGACCATTTGGCTGCCAATTATACCTAAAAACTTATTAAAGCTTCAGATCGGCAACAAGTACAGACCTAGGAATTGATCGCATTTTGTTGCGCCGTGAATGGTAGCTAAAACTTCCAAAGGAAAGGCGTTATTGCGATGATATGACAAAAGGGTGGTCGCGTTAAGCAGACGATCCCTAGATTTCTAGTTATTTCTTTCAATCAATAAGATAAGGCTTATGTGTAGACTGCTGTTTCAAATTTCCAATTACACACACTCTTCAAACATCCTTTTTCCACTGTGTGCAGAGACCAGTTTGTCTGCTAAATCAAAAGGGAAATTAAGCATCCAATCGAATCCTTTATTCATTGCATCTATACGCACTTGTAGGTTAATGATCTCGTCTTTTGATTCATCAGCACCCAAGTTTTCCCACCGCTCTTGATAAAAATATTGACAAACTGCCAACTATACACAGTACAAAGGATTGCGCCAGGCAATTGTCAAGAAAATTGTTTTCCTAAAACAACACACAAGGCATGAAATTGGAAATATTAATATGTCGTGCATGTGTCATAAAAAACTCATATGACTAATATTCACTATGGTTTGGTACTTCTGGTGACTTACAAGTGCTATCGCGTTAAAACTACAAAATCACCCAGAAACAGACCTCTGCCAAGGCAACGCGTTTCTCATTCTTATTATTAATTTTTAATCAATTCTCAAATAATTACTTATCAATTATTTATAAACTGATAAATTAGCAAAATTTTTGTAATAAAATGTAAAATTGGTCAATGTATTGGTTGACCAATTAATAAATTAATTAATCAATTAACTATTTAAACACCACCCAACTCTACCCCCGTTTTCGACCTAGTCTAAAAATTTTATCAAAATAACCCCATAACTTTTTTTTTTTGCATATCGCTGCTACTTATAACAAACAAATACACCAGATTAAGTAACAGTCAACCATTAATCAATTAAGTGGTCATAACCTTATTCTAATCTTATCCTTATTCACTTTTAAGTTGGCCCATTTGTGTACTACGTTCCTCAAAGCTTCGTAAGAATCCATCCATTACTTTTTCAATTTGGCTGGTGACCAAAAGACCAAACAAACAGACAAACGGAGGTGAAAACAAATCTCTGACAGAGGTAACCAGGGCTTGGTAGTAGACCATATGTGTATATGTACACTGTAGCATGTATTACAAGCTTTTTTTTCTACAGTCCACACGGCTGTTTTACAACATATAGTGCAAACAGCGCCCCCGTCCAATTTTTTTCCAAGAACCAACATAAAGCTAGCGTGACTTGATAGTTGATTACGTTATTGTTTAGAAGATTAGAGATTGGTTTAGGAGGGGCGTGGTGAAAGTGATTCATGAGAGGGAAGAGCTGACGAGCCTTAACAGACTGCGGAGATTGGGGTTACATCTATCCAGCATACGGGGCGGAGTGCCATATCAAACATATTCCGCGGCGCTTACTTGACAGGACTGATCATCCCTTATCCAAAACGCAATTGCATTCACTGCAGCTGGGTTCATGCAACTATCACAACTATAGCAATCGTCGTTTTGCCAGTTGCAAACTAATGTTGTATTGTTTATGTCAAGAACTAATGATGCCGTTGCTCGGTAGGTCATTTGATTTGTATGTGCATCGATGTTCCCTATGCACTCACCGTGCGTTGCGAAATTCCCTTGCTTGTTGGTGACAGTGTGACAGAAAAGGTAGTCCACAAGGAACAGTAGTCCGTTCTCCATTATTTTGTACAGGTGACATTCGTCTCATATACTTACCCAAATAATCTGACTTACCCTAACCTAAACTAATCAATTTTTACTGATATTTATAATGCTAGTAATTGACAGCCACGAGTGGATAAGGAGCGGGGAGTGTTTCGTAGAGTTACTGTTTTATTTATTTATTTATTTTTTTTTTTGGGGGGGGGGAGGTGTCACCCTGTACTACTTTGCGTAACAGCAAAAGATAAAGACCACAAATTCGTCACACTACGAATACCATTCCTGTCACACCTGTGGTGCAAACTAAATAATGCTCACATATGTGAATAAAATTTCACAATGTTAAATCTGCAAGAGGGATCCAAACTCGCCAAAAAGGATACAGAGCAGCAATACTGTATATTTTTCTCACACCATGGTTCACGTTTACTTGACCTACCATTACATTTTGCGTGCCGAGTTAGAAAAACAAGTTTCAGTTTTCGTCAGGCATGTCTTTTTAATTAAAAAGTATCCATTTTACTCACGAATCTGTTTGGTAGACAAATAGGCCTTTCTACTTTCCTCGTCCACATAATAAATTATTCTATAGACCAATGTCTTTTTTCTCAGTTCTATGTAGTCAAAAAGTTATATGTTTTGTTCTGTCGTACTACCTGTGTAGTACACATTGTAGTACGTTTAACGAATACACTGATACCGTATAGCGCTTGTTACGCGTCTGACCTTTCATGAAAAAATAATGTCCATGAAATTTTAGTCATTTTCCTCTTAACGTCTTTGGTATTTTGCATTTGATCTGTTTGCCCCCCCCCCGATGAAGCCTCCGTGCCGAAACGACTGTAGGGCTATATTAAACATGGGAAAAAACAGATTTTAATCTTTAAAACTTTTTACATTTTCTATTTTGAATATTTTTATATATAACTGCTTTTATATAATACACATACTACTGCTCTAGAAAAGAGTTACTACCTATGCTGAGCCAAAAAATTAGAATTCTTGCCTAAGACAACTTTATTTTTATAAACGTAATGCAGATAGGTTTATCACTTTCGCAACACTTTTGCAACCCCGTCTTTCTTTGTTTGTTTAGTTATTTTATTATCATTATTATTATTGAACCGCTAATTTTCTTTTAATCTGATCCTGTTTTTATTTTCATTCCAGACGAATATTTTATGTAATTTGTGGGGTTAGAGACACTGTCAATTTCCTTTATCTTCGATTCCATTTCTCCGTGATTGACAGCAAATTTAATAAAGACAGTAGATTTTGTCACGAACTAATTATCTGGTATCATTACAAAGCTGATGAATCTATTTTCAACAAGTAAAGTTCCATGTTATATCTTAAATGACAAAGGGTTACACCACAATTTCAGAGCCTCTTCTGGACAAATTTAAGAATATTAAGAACACATACAAATTTAATTTGGCGACCTTTTACTTAATCAATTTTTGGCGTCAAGCCAGAAGAATTTAAACACTTATAAGATATATGTGTGGATAATCACAAACTTTGTTTTGTACCACCAGGCTTCATCATAACAACGCACTTGCTCAAAGTTCTTGTCTGTTGATTGATTTGTTGCACTAAAAACAAAATGTTCTGAGGACAGAGCAACCATCTGTGAACTTGCATGCCCTTCAGGAAGAATAGGACAATATCCCACAAAACGGACATGTCATCCTAATTGGAGGCAATACATGACCGCCGTAGACGCACACGCTAATATACGCGTGAGTTTTAAAAAGCACATTCTCATGCTAATTGTGTATAAATTTGATGACATTCGGTGACGTACCACGACTTTTATGGCCCTTTTTCTTTGGAAATAACTGTAGAAAATCACATTTGAAGGAATACATGTTCTTAATTTGAATTAATGATACAATTTAAAATATGGATTTCGTCACCGGAATTTCGTTTTTCTTAATCCTAAGTTATGTTAAGTTTGGTACATGGGTTAAAATTATTTTTAAATAATTTAAGAAATACTATTCAGAACGGTTTACAGCTGCCATGTTATCATTTGAAAATAAAAGCACAGAGGGCTAAAGGACAACCTTTTTGACTACGAGGGTATTTGTTTTGTTATTTCCTTAAAAACACAAATGGAATTTTGAACCTTAAACAAAAAGACCATAAAACAACGTCCTCTACAAGATATTAATTGAGCATCTAGATAGTGTTTTAACAAGGAGAGTAAAGTCAGAAACAACGAGAAAGAACAAGAGCGAGTTGATTGTGACTGACCGTTCACAACGGTTGTCAGGTACACTGAGGAGAGTGAAGGCTAATATATCAAAGGTTATTAGTTGTGAACAGGAAGATGTGGGAGACGAGAAGTGACAGTGGTCAAATCATGCCACAGGTCTGACGAGGTGTAATGAATAATCTTCATGGCAGCAGATTTGTATGATACCCCTTAAAACTTACAAGACCACACAATTGAAGTGGACCAGCTGATACTACATGTGTATAAAAAAGGATATACTTTCTATCGGTTATAATTAGAGGTTTCTAAAAGCCAACTTTTGGAAATTTGAAGACACTTGGTGTTATGGACGCGTGCCTACAGACAGTGATAATATCGATGGCAGAAAGGGAAATATTGCCCATTTCGTGTTCCCTGTGTGCCCCAGAAGAGGTTTATTTATCATAAGAGGTTTTCTGGGGAAAAAAACGCTAAATAACCCTCTACTTACTGCCAATCAAAGTGCTACTGTGTCTTCATCTTTTTTTCGAAACTATTATTGGGAAATTCAACCGCCTTTCTCTCTTCTGCTTTGACTGTTGTCGCCTCTGTACCAGTAGCTCAGTCAACGTCATGTAGGGTTATCCGTGGAAGAGTGTCACAGTAAACGACAGACACAAGTTGATAACAGAGCTTCCGTTAATCTAGTGTCATTTTTTTTTCCAAGTCAAAAGTTAATTGCGACAAATTCGGGGAATCATAAGATTGATGGCATTATTTGAACCTAATGTTAATAAGATGTATTGCCAATTATATAAGAAAAGAAAAGTGCTACAAGGTCCATTTACAAGACCCAGGGCAGCAGTTATATTTGCAAAGTTTGCAACTGTAAAACGTGTATGACGTTCATGTTTTTTAAAATCAAAATCAGTTGTCAGTACAAACTGACAATATGACAATATCCCACAAAACGAACATGTCATCC